AAATTTTTCTAAATATCAAATAATGGATTTTAAGCTTCATTAACTTATAAAATAACTTATTTTCTTCTTGTTATATTATAAGATATATACTTGATATAATAATTAGTAAATATTATAATATTTATAAATTAATTAATTAAAATATTATAAAATGTTGTTATTAGCTTTTATAGTTAATAAATTGAGCTCATGTTTAATATTGATTTTGTAATGAAAAACTTTAATTTTTTTAAAAAATCATAAATAGTTTAATATAAGATAGATTAGAAAATAAATAATATAATTTTTTCTAAAATAAATTTAAAATAGATTCTTATAAAATTTAATATAAAAATGATAAAAAAAATTATACCAAAGAGATGTCTATTTTTAAAATTAAATTAAAATATAACATCAAGGAACAAAAATAAAGATCTATGGTAAAAGAAGGTTTTTTTTTTCTTTTTAGAAGGTTGAAAGATAAGTTTAGAAAACCAATTTTTAAAAAAATTCCAAGAGCGTAGGATTTATTAAAATATATTTCAAGAAGTCTTCTTAATAAAATAACTAAATTAGAATTTTATAGACAACAAAGTTTTAAAAGAAGTAAAGATTGGTGTAAATTTTAGGTTGGTTTTTGACACTCTTTATATAATCTATAGTTATATTTTTTTGATTGAATGAAGATATAAAAAGGACTTATAATTCTTAAGTTTTGTATCATCCTTATGGTAGAATTAAGAGATGTTTGATTACTTATAAATATAAGAATTGGATTTGAGAGATTTAAGACTTGTTTCAAGTTCTTAGATATTTAAAGATTTATAAATTAATCAAGAAAAAATATTTAAATATTAACAGAACATATTATAGAAAAAACTTAACACCAAATTTGAGTTGAAGTTAACAAATAAATTACAAGAATTAATTACTGGAATTCTTTTGTAAATTTCAAGAAAGAAGGCAAGAAACATCAATGAGAGATTTATTGCAAAAATTATCAATTTATAAATTCGATCTTTTAAATTTTGTGAGTACATAAATGAGGCAAAGAAGAGAATTCTATTAAATTTAAAACTAATCTAGTAGTCCAATTAGAGTCTCTGTCCTATTGTTTTTAATAATTATAAATAGAGTACATGTAAAATTTATTAGGATTTTTTTCATATTTAGAGGATTTCTACTTTAGTCTTTAAAAAGAATTGAGAATATATATCTTATTAGGTAGAAAGATTTAGAATTTGATAGAATTTAAAATTTAAGACTGAAAAAGGTTTAATATTCTATTAGAATTAGAATTTAACATTTAAAAGAATTTAGATTTCAACATTCTTAAGATAAAAATAATGAAAATAATAGGATGTAAGATACATGATTTTTTAGATTTAGGGTTTCTAAGTTGATTAAACTTGTTTAAGAAGTATGTTTTCGAGGGACTTAATTTTTTAACTATAAGATAATTACATGTTATAGAGAATTTTCTTCTACATCTAAAAGTCTAGTATATTTTTAAATTTAACTTCATATAATACAATACTATATGCTTAAGAAAAGAAAAAATAATGGTATAAATTCTTATATTATTTGAATAAACAAAAATAACCAGAAAGAAGTATAAATATATTGAGAAAATAATATTATTTCCAAAAGATGTCAAAGAAGCTTCTTTGATGTAGATTGGATTTCTAACTTCTTTTATGTATTTTATGTAGATATTGAGACTTTGTCTATACATTTCTTACTTTTAAGGAGCTACTAAATAACCAACCTATAATTTAGATACTTAGACTATGAAATTCATAGTTTCTAAGAAGTTACCACAAGGCATTTTTCCTACCTAACATGTATAAAGACAAGATTTAAACCATTTACAATCTCATCTATAACTTTCTTACATTTTCATATAGATTTAAGATTTTCTAATACCTTTAGACTTCACAATATTTATTCTAGTTATATCCTATCTTATATGTAATATCTTTTTTATTTCTTCTTAAAAAAAGATAATACTATCAAATATCAAATTAATTATGAATTTTAATAAATAATTTTTATAATTATAATTCTTTTGGATAAATTATTATAAAAAAAAATCATTATATATTTTCTATTTAATTTTTTATAGATTAAATTACAAGATATAAAAATTTAATATCAAATATATCTCTAGTATAAATCCTAAATTAAATTTATCATTTTGATTTCTTATTTAAATGAAATAATTATTACTTCAAACATTGGTTGAAAAAATAATTTCTGAATTTTTTAATATCATGATAGTTGATAGTATAAAAATTGTACATTATAACATCTTTTGGATCTATATTAAAAAAAAAAATGCAAAGAAAATTAATATAATTATGTGAAGAGTTTTATTCGATATAATTTTATTTTTCTAAATTATTTTTTAACTTTAAGATTAAAACAATTGATCTTTCAAAAAAAAATTAACTTTTGAGGTGTCAAAAATATAACCACAAAAAATATTTTTATTGACATAGTCAAACCAAAATTTATACCTTGAATGATATCCTAAGAGCCCACATTTTAATATAGATCAAAGGTGAAGATGTATACAACACTAAATCATTCAATTGATATGAAACTATAAAATATAATTCTGTAAATTTTATATTAATTATTGTGCAATTTCAGACAATAATATTTTGGTAGAAGTATGTATCTAAGAATAATTCTCGATAGATATTAAAAAATTTGACAAGTTCACAAAATATTAATTATATATATTTTTAGAATAGAATTTTATTTTAATAGGCTGGAGTTTTTTAAAACGCATTTATGAAATTTTTAAAAAATAATAATAAAATTATTAAAATTTAAATAAATCAAATCTAAAATTTAAATATAGCATGCAATCCAACTTTGTATATGTTTTGTAGAACAAGGTATTTGGGTCGCTTTAAAAATATATATTGATTTAGATTATTAGATTATATAAAGATATTATTCAGATAAAAGAATAAATGAGGCAACTAAAAAATATAAAATACATGTTTAATTATATTTTTGAGCTAGAATAGAAAGATAATGGAAATTTTAAAAAATAAAAAATTAGAGATTAAATTTGAAATTTAATGTAGTTTAATCTGGATTTGTATAATTTAAGCAAGTCTTTTGTATAGAGACTCATATCTTAGATACTATTTTTAGAATTATTAGATTAAAAGTTAGAGATTTAATATTGCATATTTTAATAACTTTATTTGGAAGCATTTTATTCAAAAACAATAATGGCAAATAATATCAATTATTAGTCTTTTCAATTTATTTTTGTAGTGTATTGAACTATTTCAAAGAATAGAATATTACTTGAAGGTATTGCCTAACAATTTACTACATATATAAATTGAAAAATCTAAAATACTTTATATCTCCTTATATTTTATGTCAATAATATTTTAGTTCTTTATTCTTTTATTTTAGTTTTTGCATAATATGTAGTCTTGAAAATTCATTCAAATGTAAAAGGACATTATTAAGGTCTATTTAATAAAAAATAATGTTTCTCAATAATATAAAAATGTCATCTTGAAACTTTGATTTAAAAATCTTCAGTTATACAATAATTTGTTGATTAAAAATAAATTTGACATAATGCTTTATAAACTTTGTTAAGAAGTAATTACTCTACTGAGCATATTGGTTGGCATTATACAACGACAATAAGCTCAATAAAAATTGTTAAACTTAATTAGGTGTAATGTTACTAAGCAATTTACAAATACAATAAATATTTTTAATAAATAGTTTTGATGTTTGTTTGCCTATTGCTTTTTGGTTGCAAGGTTAAAATACATCATTATAAAGAACTTATTTTGTAATATATAAACATTAAAATCATTTAATAAAAAGAATATCTAAAATATAATTTGTTAGAATGTAAACAATATTTTGATAGAATTGATATAAGAATGATAGAAAGATTTGTTAACATATGATACATATTTCACAATAGCTTTCTTTTAATAACAGTCTTCTACCCTTAATTTATGTTTAACACCAAGAAGACAATAATATTTAACAAAAACAAAAAAGAAGCTCAGAGTCATTGCAAAATGCCAACCAATATGCTCAGAAAGAACATCAATTAATCTAAGTTAGAGATAAAACCTAAATTATTTTTTGCAACAAAAAGACTAATTAAAAAAAATTTAAGTTTTGGATTTATTTAATATCTACATAGAAGTTAATTGTATAACCTATTATTTAAAGATATCAACAACGATATATATATATATATATACATGATAAATATTATATTTTAAAGAATCACAAGGAATTTAAAATTGAAGAAATATTGAACTTAAACTAAGAGAATGCAAAAACATTGTTATAAAAAAATTTCTATAAAAAAAATTAATATAAAAGAGGATATTTAAATTAATTTTTTAATTTTTTAAAGTTTTAAAGATTCGTTTACAACTCATTATTAGTTTATTTGTTATACAAGTATTAAATTCTGTTGTTAATGCAAACCAAAAATTGACAAAAGAAACTTTTATATATATATATATATATAGAGAGAGAGAGAGAGAGAGAGAGAGAGAGAGAGAGAGAGAGAGAGAAATAATTAATAATACAAGGTGTTAAATTGATGAAGGAAAAAAATTATTATTTCTTCTTAAAACCATAATTCTAACCACTGTTTAGTTCAACTTCAAAGAAAACAAAAATTCAATTTGCTTTCCACATTTTAATATAAACAAAAAAACCCTCCAGAGACATTCATCTACAAAACATCTCTTACAGCAATACCACAAAAAAGGCATCCTATCTGAATACTTGATACTGTAATATGATACTTTTTCCACTACATATGTAACATTTAGTTGTAGGTAAAGAAATGGTAAATCTGTTTGGATGCCTACTATTATACTATGGCAATATACAAAGTACCACATCAAGTATTGAACTAGGTATTCTCAACTAATATATGTACACCATATATTTATCCAATCCAACTGCAATAATGTCAAAATCAACATTAGATACAAATTTACAAAGCATGAAATATATTTTGTTTGTTATAGATTCAGCAGTCTTTATAAGTATATTTTGAATGAAATCAGATATGCATTTTGCTTGTTTGTGGTGATTACAAGAAATGGTCGTTAAGGTCGATTGCAAACCACCAATAATAAAACAAAAAAACTGCCTAAGTTAACAAATAAGTTAAGCGGCTTTTCTGTTTTATTGGTATGAATTGGAAATCTATTCGTTTGTTCATATGAATTCAGATAGGCACGAGGTGGTTCATCATTACATCTCACGTAATGCAGAATCATAAATTTGTATGTTTGTCCTCTCCCAACATCCATGCATTACATCCAAGCATTTCGAATCTGCTTGTACCAGGTGCTTGTGACAATTCACTTCCTGCAGTCAGGTACCGTGGAATCACCAATGAGTGGGAAAGAAATTGTGTCACTACGAAAAGATTAAAAAAAAAAAAAAAAAAAAAAAAAAAAAAAAAATCGCTTACGCATCAAAAAATCTCCACCACAAAACTCCCTAATCGAACATTAAGAGGGGATGTATAATTAATGAAAAAAGAGAATTAACAATTATGACATGACATGGGAGATAAATATACAACCTGCAGAAGACATCTTGTACCATCCTCATCAGGCTGCATAGTTTTCTACATGTAACCACTTAGTAGCAGACCATTTGGTACCCTTGATCACGGGGCAGCCACCTACCAAACAGAACACAAATCCCATGAGCCATTTTAGAAAACCTGAGAACTTCAGTCTTATCTTAGGTATGAACTACATGCAAATATTTTAGTAATGATCAGTAAAAAATTCAGGCACCGGAGAAGTAGAACATGATGTCTAAATCAAAGAGGAGGAGGATCGTAAGGAAGAACACGGAGAAAAAATGGTCGACCATTACGGTTCTTTACAAACCCCAGCTGTTACAAGCAATGAAAATTCGCGGTTACCAAAAATTTGATTTCATAACCTGGAACAGAAGCGTACCATGCAAGCTAGTGGAATCAAGTGTCGCATCTGGTTTCATGCTCCAGAAAAGCAAGGCATCTCCCATGCGTGGTCGCACAGAAAGACCTTTCTGAGCACACTCAGATAATTTATCCCAATCGGGAACTTCAGTCTTGTTCACCTGAGCAGCTGGAAAAACTGTTTCTCCTCCTTCCTCGACATTTGACCTGTCACCACCGTGTAAAACCAATCATCAATATGATCGCAGATATAGACTTGTTGAACTTTAAGTAACTCCAGCTAAACCTAAAAATAGTCTACGCTGCATTGTCTGCACATAAGAACAGAAATACTAGTAAGAATTCAAAGCCAAATGAAAGCAGGGCAGGACACTTACAGGTACATCAGTACGGTAGCAATTCTTTGGCCGCCATTTTTGGTATTGTATGCATCGTGGAAGTAATCATAATGGGGCTCGTATTTTTCACTTTCTTTGTACTGCAGAACTTGTAAGCCTTCACCTTGCTCTGCAAGCAACAACCCGCACGCCTTAAATGTGATATTGGAACTAATTACGAACAAGTACTACTATTTTGCACAGAAGCTGTACTTCATTGACTTGTGTCAAAAGTGTGCTAAACCAAAGGTTATTAATGTTTCGGCTATCAGAAAGCTAAAAAGGTGTAGACTGTCGACATAAAAACAATCATATTGATACACGAAAATAAATAGAAGACATGATTCTTTGCTACTAAATGAGAAAACTGAATTAAGCAAGTCCGCGGGTCATTTTTATGAACCACTCAACAGCGTATCGTACATACCAGCAGGTATAAATGTGAAGTCAGCTATTCGCTTCTCGATTCTTTTGATCACAGGATCTTGGCCTCGCATCAAAAATGTACCTGAACTTGTGCGTACTCTGTGATGCATCATAAGCACGAATGTGACAGTTCAAGGCTATGAAATTCCAGAAATAGAGAAGGCTGCAATGTGAACCAATTACCACAGAACCTCAAATACATCAATATCATTAACGCATACGGACCTTCACAAATGCCAAGAACTAACCATTTGAGTAACGAAGGATCAAAGGAGAAACATCGCAATTACATTTTAGCTGACAAGCTAATTGCATCAACTACCAGTAAATTGGGTCATCAGTAAGAGTCACATCAGTACACACCTGCTGTCTTTGCTCTTTCCTGTATCACTATCTACAACCGTTGACTTCACCAGACTTGGCCTGGCCACTTCAATTAGATGATTGCATTCCTCTTCTGTCTATTCACAATACACCACTGTCAACTTCGATAGCTTGCCACACTTACAGTAACAGAACAGAAAGTAACTATCAGTTGTTTGCTTTTATACAGCACGGATTGAAGAATAGATCGCGTGAAGAGTCTGATGAAATTTATTCCAGAAAGATCTCACTACTGGACTTAGTTTCTTCGCCGAAATACCGCATCCTTGAAAGTCTGAAATTAAGCAGAATGTTCGAGATCCAGAAAGATAGTAATGACAACTCCAAACACACGACAATGCCCTTGCTACATTATTTGTAACTTGAACTTACCAGAAAGTGGTGATATAGAAAGGCTCTGGGCTCCCAAGAGAGGACTTCAACCCAACGTGATAAGGGGTTGGCACCAAAATGCCTGCAATGAAAGACGAATACCACTTAATCAAAGACACAATACTCTGAACATGAAACTGCCCTCACTTTTGAACCATCTATCGTAGCACGCTGTTATAGCACGTCGTTAGTCGCAGCTTAACATAAACCATGCTAACAAATATCGAATCTCAAGTTTTTGGATGAGCAATTAATGGGCGACGAGGGCGATTCGCGCACTTGCGAATGTCAATCATCAACAAACCGTGCAGACAGGGTAACCATACTGTGTCAGAAAATTGAGTTAGGGATTCCAACCTACACCAGCTGTTATAAAAATGTTCTCAAAATACACTAAACTACTTGTACCTGGTCACCTACAACCTTGTCAGTGACCACTCTGATTCGTCCGTCCGATCAAATCCATATTTAAAATCACAACACTTCAAATATACGTATCCGAAGGCCTTGCAGCTAGCATTTATGTAATTCGAAGATTTCTTTCTAGGTTTAAGGTGATTGGGAGTGTAACAAGCTGCAGAGCAAGTATCTCAGCAGGAGCTGCAGTGAAACAACTGAAATTGTTGCTTCCGAGGAAATTGTGAAAATGTCTATAACGTCTCATACGCTATAAGGAAGTTGAATGATGCCGATAAAGGTGGAACAAAGTGCTATCAAAAACTTTCTGGCGATGCATAAACGAATGTCCTTTACCTTCACCCACCTCCACCAGCCCTAGAGTAGTATCTAATTCAGAAAGTATCAGATCTCCCACAAACACGATGCTCGTTTAAAAATGATGGTGCATAACGATCAGAAGGGCAATGAAATTCTGAGAGGCCTCATTCAACTGTGCACGTCCAGATTCATGTGATCAATACCAGAAATTAGCTCACCTTCTTTGAGTATTCACACATTGGTGTAAGAGTTCGTACCCACCTGTGTGAGGGCAGCTTGATTTCCACAACGTCAGCCGAACTCCCGTGGGACGCCGATGGCATGGCTACAAAGCCAAGTGCCAACATGAGCATGAGCGCTAGAGACAACAGGACCAGCACCAACAAAGCCATCGTGCCAGCTCCTCTCCTTTGACCTCGACTCAGCTTCGCCATAGTTACGAACTTCGCCCGGCTCCCACGAAACCCAAGGAAGAAAATTACCGACTACTTCGAGATGTGGCCGCGCCGAGGTAAACAGGATTTCAGAGAATGCAATAGTTACTCAGCCTCTACGGCTTCTAGAATAGAGATCCATACCTACACACTCAAAATGTATGCATGCTAAGAACCACTCTCACGATTGAAATACCTCGGTTCCAAACTTAAAATCAGGAAACCCTTCGAGCTAAAAGCTCCTCGAGGATGATCCAATCACCAAAGACACTGTGAGAAACTCCTCTTTCTCCCCGACTATCAAATTTGTGTATGCAGTTCACCAGCCTCCAACCTGCATGTGCAAACGCTTACAACAAAAACGGCAATTCATCGGAAGTAGAAAGACAGATAAAGTTGACCAAAATAGGTCGACCCACATCCCCTTCGACGATGGTTTGTCCTACCCTGAAGCAGCAAATCAACTGCGCGATTGAGGTAGGGCTTACTGTGGGCACGGAAATAGCATCGCAGTGTGGGTGTGGGTGAACAATTATAGACTTGACTCTCGACGAAGGCAGGAAGACTTGGAGATCCCCCTGCTTGGAATGTGAAGATATGGAAATAAAATAAAATAAAATAAAATAACATGTAAAATCACAGAAAAAACGAAAAGACGAGGAACAGTGGTCAGTATGAAAAGTGATCTTTCTGAGTGTCGTTCTTCTTCGTTGGAGTCGCCCGCCTGTTTTCCAGCAGCATCGTCAATTTCCATCTGCAACTTGAGCAGCCTTCTCATTTCCAGACTCCATCTCTGTAGCAATATAAGGGTCAAATTAGTGCAGTTGGTGTTTCGCATGAGAAATCGTTGAAGTGGGTTTTGGTGCATCGAATTTGAGCTATGGAGTCGTTAGCTCGGGGTAATCTTGCGAATGTAGCCTCCAGCTTCACCTCGTCTACTGAATTGTTGGGGTTTTCCTTGCGCGGTGATGATCTGCTACGTTCAGTGAGATTGGGTGGCCGCAAAGTACGGTCAGTTGGGTTTCGAGTGACGTCTGTGTCTACAACAGAAGACAAAACTCCCGCTCGCTCTGGGAATGTGGGACTCTACACTGGGCGAGATCCTAATGTGAAGAAGCCTGCGTGGTTGCGGCAACGGGCGCCGCAAGGAGAGAAGCTATCAAAGCTCAAGGAGAGCATCACCACCTTGAAGCTGAATACCGTTTGTGAGGAAGCGCAATGCCCCAACATTGGAGAGGTGAGATTTATGTGAGATTTAGCGGTTATTGGGATTGTCATGTGCATTAAAATGGTCGGGCAATGTGGGTGGCGTGGTTTTCAGTAAAGCTGGTGGATGAAACGCTGTTGTGAAGACTCTGCGTATCTCTGAGTATTGACATTGGAACATTGGGTCGGGTCAGTGTTGGAATGGTGGCGGAGGAGCAGGGGGTGAAGGGGATGGCATTGCTACAGCCACTATCATGCTGCTCGGTGACACTTGCACTCGCGGATGCCGATTTTGTGCAGTTGCGACTAGTAGAAATCCTGCACCCGCGGATCCTATGGAACCAGAAAATACAGCTCGGGCAATAGCCAGTTGGGGGTATTCAATTATTCCTTCATTTTTTCAATGCGTTCTTTTGATGCTGTGCATACGGAGTTGAACATCACTCGCCTCCCCGCTTGAGTTTAGAGTGCTACATTTCCCAGATGGTGGAGTTTACGCTGCCTCTTAGGATGGATTAAGATTAGGGTTCATAGTGTCGCTTAATACATTCAATTTTTGTGGAAAATCTGAACCATAGTCGCAGTGACGTAAATCATGTCATGCTTGTGGATTATTGTGCAGCGTAGGGTATGTTGTATTGACTAGCGTTGACAGAGATGACATGCCTGATGGTGGGAGTGATCACTTTGCTCGAACAGTGAAAACCCTCAAGGTTTGTTTGTTTGTTTGTGTTTGTTTGTATTTTTATTTTATTTTTTGTTCATTTTTATTTCCCGTTCCCTTTTGTAGGTTTTCATGTAAGACCAACAATATGTGCCACTTCTTCAGACTTCCCTCAATTCACCTACACTCTCTATGTCCATTGTTATCAACTAAGGAGTTTACAAGTATCCCCATGCTGTAGAACGTCACTCATAGTATCATAGAATTCATTGTATCAGCACATCGAAGTGGTTGTCCGTCTTAATGGCTTTGGTTGAGGATTATTCTTATTTGTGAATCTCATTTGTACGTTGTGTATGGAATCAATTGCAGGCGTTAAAGCCAGAATTATTGGTAGAATGTCTTGTGTCTGATTTCAGAGGTGATCTGAACGCCGTGCATCATCTCGCCAGCTCTGGGCTGGATGTCTTTGCTCATAACATCGAGACAGTGAAGCGATTGCAGCGGATTGTCAGAGATCCACGGGCTGGGTATTATATTCACACACAGTTCATAGTTCTTTTCAAGGAGTTTGCATTTGGTGTTGAAATGTGGTGTGCGTCGCGTGAAGTTTTTGAACTGATTTGTTGTGGATGCTTTTTGATGATAGGTATGAACAGAGCATGGCAGTATTAAAGCATGCCAAGACTCTGAAGGGAATGGTGACTAAGTCCTCCATAATGCTGGGCTTGGGCGAGCGTGATGAAGAAATAAAACAAACTATGCTGGATCTGCGTGATGCTGGAGTGGACATATTTACTCTAGGCCAATATTTACAGGTACAGTAATGGAAATTTGGTGATTGATGTACTGTCGTTCTGAATATTATGAGCTTTATATCATCTTTCAGCTTGTTGTGAGACGTGCACTTTGAGCCTTTTCTCGCTTCTTTTTAATCTTTTTTCTTTATCCCTAAACTAAATTGTATCCTTATCCCTCTTTCATTTGATTTCTGCAGCCCACGCCTCTTCACCTAACTGTGAAGGAGTACGTGACACCCGAGAAGTTCGAATATTGGAAGCAGTATGGCGAGTCCATTGGTTTCAGATATGTCGCAAGCGGTCCTCTTGTAAGTTCGTGCAATAAGTGTCAAGTATCTTCAATTAAACTAGTTTGTTTATTAAATTTGATTGAATCTTTCTTCATATCACCTGAAATGTTGCTTGAATTTTTTCTTATTTAACATTGTCTCATTCCCTGCAGGTTCGATCCTCTTACCGAGCAGGGGAGTTCTTCATTGAGAGCATGATTCGTAACGAACGGAACAATGCTGCGGTGTAATTTAAAAGTTTATGTTAAGTGCTGCAGAAAAACATATCTTCACCAAAATTTCGTGCCACTCACATGTGGCGATTAGAATCTATACTGAGCTTAGTTAGTTAGTCGAGCTATTCCTCAGCTGGGAGGTTTTACATGATATTGAGCCTGATTGAAGCATCTGGAACGTCATGCGCTAGGGTCCATGATCGGGTGATTCCGGTGACTCCCACCACATTCGTCGAGTGCTTAGATGATTCTTTGTGCTGTACTCAACATTCTGCTATACTTCGAGCCACAACACGTGAGCCTGATTTTTTTTGTTGTATATGAGCTGATCTTGTTCGTTTAATTTCCTTGGGAACTGTTAACTACAGTGGTGTTCCCTCTGTAGGTGATCATATTTACCTCTAAACCCCTACAAATGGTAGTTGCCTAGTTCATTTTGAACGACCCATTGTATTTCAAAATTTTGGGGATATCCTGTCACTGTCTTTGAAACTCTATGGGTGTGATCCTCGTACTTTCGCTCACATTTGGGATAATTAAATTCCAAGTTGCCAAGAAGGATGGGTTTCAGTACTGTTCAATCACCAAATCTGCTGTTGCCAAGAAATTTGACAAATAGTCACTTGAAGGGTTAGGATTAGCTGGCAGGCAGCCAAGTCTGAAGAATTGGACGTTTCTGTAGACTACATTGACTCACAACACTATGCTTAAAGAGAATCAATCATCCCTGCAGATGATCGGGAAGTGTAGTGTGATTTGCAGAAATTGTGTTGCGCAGGGAGGATCGGACTTGAAGCCTTTCCAAATTTTGTGAGGTACGATCGAAAGTGCTCTTCGTTCTCGTTGCGTCCAATGAAGTGCAGACTCGAGCTGTTTTAAGCTTATTAATTTTAAGCAGCATGATTTTATCCCGAGATCATATGTCGGACGAGGTGCCTCATATCTCCCAGCTTTTTCTCTTCGGCTGAGTTTTTGTTTTCTTTTTCTTTTTTTAAACTAACAGCCTCGCCACCTCCACATGTTGGACATGTTTCTTTGAATCTTTCAAGAGAATTCTCCGTGTCACAATGGATATACTCGACCTGTTACATGACGCTTTTCTGCTTTATTGTTTTTGAAAAATTGCTGCTCTTTTATTCCAATCTACCTTCCTGGAGTCCTCACCTTAAGGAAAATTCGCTGGTGGATTTTGTGACTATTGTGATTGTTGCAGTTGATTTTGTGTTCGCCGATGGCGAAGGCAAACGATGAAGTGACATGAGAGGAGCTGGTCCAACTGGTAGAGTCTTCAGGTTTGCAGACTCGCTTTCTTAGAAAATTCCTTGGTCCTCAGAGATTGGTGTTACCAGTGTCCGAAATCCATGGAAGAAGATCAGGTTATACTCAACAACATTCGGTGGATCATGGCATTCTTTTCATCCGGCTCTGTTGCATCTCAGTCGTTGCGACGGCAGGTGCAAAGGTGAATCGCAGGTTATAGGAAAGTGATGATAACATGTGTATGAAGAAACTGTTTTCTCCGAGAGTAGCGCTGATGGACTGAAACTTGCTTTGACAGCTTATTGCAGTGATAGTTCTAATGAACTTCTAAATGATATTGTGCAGTTTCTATTTCTGTTGATGTCTGTGAAGGAAAATCTGAAATGAAAATCTCAGAAGCGGCGAGTGATTTGCTGGTTGTGCTTCCAGGTAATGGAACCATTCTTAAATTTCTACCATGCACTTTATCTCTGTTTGTACAACCTGATTGGCTTTGACCAGCATATTGAAGATTCTTCACACATGTTAATATTTTCCTCCTTCAAATGACGAGATAGTAGCAGTTATATGGACGAAGGGAGAATCATTATGTAGGTTGTGAAAGAAAAAGGTAGTGTGTGAAAACCGAAGAACCAGAACTTTCAATGTCGTGGTTGAATTGTGGGGCATAAAATTGTTTTATTTGGAGCTACCATCCTGTTTGAAAACTGTAATTAGGAGTCCGGGCTGAGCTAATTGTGTTGTGTTTGTGATTGCTGAAGGGTGGCTGGTAGGACATCATGACATGTATTGTGCACAACTAACTCTACAATTAGGACTCATGTGAAGTTGATGTCTTTGATCGTCTTTGATATTGTTCGTGATGTGCACAGAAAGCTCAAAAAAGTATCAACCAGGACTACGTAAGAGTTGTTCTCTAAACGCTTAAGAGCCTTAACGAGTAAGTCGGGATTAGTTATATTGGAGTGAATGGCCTTCATTTTATATTTATTTACTTATTTTGTTTTCTTCTTGAACTGCAGTATGGTGGAAAATAAATAAATAAATAAAACCCAACTTAAGATATGAATTTGGAGTACTTGTGATACAATACTATTGTTTCTTCATGACAGGGCCTGCTGTGAACATGATTGTCACATAATGTTTTATGTGAAGCAAACAAAAGTAACACTTTTTTGACAATTGCTTCAAAAGATTGGAAATAAAATATTATAGTATTTATGGTTTTTAAATGTACAATCTCATGCTTTTCCTGTTTGTTGACTTTTGATACCAAAAAATATTTTTACTTCAACTTTTCATATTTTGTGATGTGATTTTTTTTAATGTATAAATTCTATGAAAGTATGTATGTATATATATATATATATATAGCATGAGGAATATTTTTTTTTATAAATTGATCAAATATCAAAAAAATCAAGTAAGAATGATTGAGGTAAATAAAGATATACTCTTTATATTAAATTTAATAAACCTAATGTTTATGAACCTAATGTTTATATCTATATGTATCCTTACACTGTTGATAAATTTAATGTTTATATCTATACATATCCTTATACTAGGAAGTAATTTGTATATGTTTTAAAAATAAGATAAATAACTAATAAAAGGTTAGATTAATTTTTAAAAATTTGAAGTGTGTATATATATATATATATAATAGACTTTAAGACTTTAAGACTTCCTCTAGAACCTTTTAAGGATCTAATTGTTATTGTATAAATAAGAGAGTAAGGTAAATTTGCTTTGGTTTTGCCAATACAAGTTCAAGAATAATTTATATATTATCTTGTTTCTAATCTAATATCTAAGTTTAGTGCATGTGTATTTCTTAGTCTTTGGATTTTCTAGTTAAATGTCCTTGAAAATTTGACATAATGATCTTTTTATATAGTACTTTTATATTTTTTTTAAATTGAGAATAATATTTTATTATTTCAAAAATACTAATGCATCTTTGAACTAGTTTCTTTCATAGTTTAAATTATATAATCTAAAAATTAAAAAAATCAATATTAAGTACTTTTCTAAGAAGATATTATTAATAACAAACATATGAATATTTACTTATTTATCTAAGATATTTTTAAGTAATAATATTTACAAATTTTAAAAAATGCATGTAACTATTAAAGTTTATGCTCTCTTTTTAAGTATTTTAAGTGATAATAGTAATAATAAAAATAAATATTTTCTTGGCTATTATACTAAAATTGAAGATGGTTCTAAGAAATAAAATTTTAAAATAATATCAAAAAATCAACTACATAATGGTTTGATTGATATGCAAGATAAAACACATCTTTAATTTGGACTAATTTATAATTTTTTAAATACATAACTTATAATAATAGGAAAGTATATCAACAAGTTTATAAAAAATATATATATTTGATTGATTTTTATGCTTTCCAAAAATATTTGTGTTATTTATTTAGAATTTTTTTGATATAGAAAGTTATTTGTTAATCATTTGAATCTGAATTTATTTAATTAATCTATGAAAAATAAGATATTTTTAATTCTAATAATAATAAAAACATTTATTTTTTAATAAAAACTATTTAATATATTATTACATAATAAATACGAATTCTTTAAAATTCTTCATTAAAAAAATATATTTTTTATTTTTCAAAATAAATAAACTTGTAACTATTATATCAAAAAAATTAAATACCAATATTATACTTTAAAAAGTTAATGTCAAGAAATTTGATATAATCATATTGACTACTACAATATCAGTATTTAAATACTTTTTAAAATAAAATGTAAAACTAAAATACATGTTTTTATAATCATTTATAAAAATTAACATATCTCTAACTAAATGAAACATAAATAATAAAAAAAATTATCAACCTTGATTTTAAATCAACCACTTCTTCTGTATAAATTTCAAAAAGTCATTTTTACAAAACGACAATATTTAATTAAGGGATAATTTAATTTTACTTAAACATGATTTTAGATAAGAATATTTTTATATATGTTTATTAATTTAGAACTAGAAATTATGGTGTTTTCTAAAGAGACTAATTAAGTATTTATAAGTATTTGAATTTTTTATTAAAATGTTAAAAATTAATTTTGTATAATTTTTATTCAGTTTTTAGAATCAAATACATAAGATCAAAGACATTGCTATTATTAAGATCTAATATTAGAAGATATTAAGCAATAGATACTAAAGTCACCATTTGTGTGAATATAATATAATTAAAAACATAACATGCAAAATATTTTAATGGTTTCACTTTTTTTTAATGGATGATCTAAAAATAAAAAATTAACTATGCATTCAAATAATATTTTGATCTTAGTATAATTTGTAACAATAAAATTCCGAATTTCTTTTCAAATATTTTATTAGTGATTCTTGATTTCAAAAACAATTAAATTTACTAACCTTGATTAGAAATATTATCTATTATAAATATTATTAGTAACAAATTAATTAAACATAATCATTTCTTTCTTTTTATGAAAAAAATGATATACTTTCTTACAAGCTTATTCAAAGTAGTTTTAAGTGGAATTTTGTATACATCTAATGCTTACTTTACAACACTTCTATTATACTCATGCTTCTCTATAATAGGCATTTTAGGAGTTTTATGCCTTAATTAACTAAATTAAGATTATTTACATAATAGTAGTTATTTACTATCTAGATGAGTTTTTCAAATATGCCTAAAATAAGGTTGGGAGCAAAGTAGTAGTTACCAACTCTCAAGTCCACTTTTACAATTGCGATCAAGTTGGGGTTAGGAGCAAAGCGATAGTTACTAATTTTCAAGGCCACTTTTTCAATCATGAATAGGTCAAGACTCGGAGTGGAGTATTATTTATTAATTGCCAAGGTCATTTTCTAATTGCTACTATATCAAGACTAAAAGCAGAAGATAATTATTGTGTATAGACTATTATTTTAATTGAGCAACAAGGGAGCAGAGCAGTAGATAGTTAATTTGTTTGTTATTGTTTAGATCCTTGGTTTTGATGTCCAAGAACAAGTGTAGCTCAAGCTACATCAAGGCCAATGTTACA